CCAGCACTGCCAAGTCCCTTTCTGACCTACAACACCCAAGCTACTCCTCCCCCAGCCTGGAGCTGCATGGGGTTGTGGTGTCCCAAGTGTAGGACCAGCACTTTGCCTTTCTGAACCTCATGCAATTGAGTGAATCTGATTAAACAAATGCAAACTTCTCCTAAACACTCTTAAATTTACTTAACTCTTACATCATGAATTTGTGTATGGTACATGTGTATCTCCAACTGTTGCAGACTATTAGCCATGCATATTCCTGAATATATTTCTCCTTGCAGCATAGCCATGGCAAGTGGCTTGAAATTGCAAAAATGAATAATGATAAGGGCCACATGCAGGAAATAATTCAATCTAGGCATCTAAAAGTCTGTCTTTTAAGAGCTTATCTTTTTGACATATCTGCCAGTTTTCTCCCTTGAGTTTGAGACATGCTTACTATGGTTTTTGAATTAAGAGCAAACACACTGCCACTGGGATCAAGTGAGATCTTAGTTGTACCAATTTAGTTTTTTATAATTCATAATAGATGCTTTGAGGTGAAGCTAGACCACAGACCCCTAAAATGGGAGCTCAGGTCCTGATGGTGGCTATCTCAGTTTTGTCCTGTGCACCCTGAGGGGCTGATGCTGATGTGGGGACCTTCTGTCCACTCAGTCTCTCTCCTCCACAAAGTCATACCTGCTTCACTGTCAGGCCTGGGGAAGTCCCAGGCATAGCCCTGAGTGGTTAGGAAATTTCAAAGAAATGAAAATGTGGGAAAACTCTTCCCTTTCAGGCAGGAGCTAAGCAAGATTGATATTGAGGAAATTAGCAACTAGCTTCTGTCCTTTTGGAGCTGTGAGCTAAGGAAGCTCCAGGGGAACAAAACTAAGTCTGTCTCTGAGCTTGGTTGAACTGACCTTATTAAAACTGAACCATTGTCCTGAATTGTGACTAGATGTTTCTGTTTTAAAGTAAGTTGGAAACTAACAAGCCAAGTGATGTCTAGAAGTTAATGTAATGAACCAATGTTTCCCTCTAGTTCTTTGACCATGTGAAGACTGGAATTGAAGATGTGTGTGGACACTGGGGTCACAACTTTTGGAGAGATAAGTAAGAGTGGCATTTCAAACTCTTTGTTATACAGGAGAGGCTGAACAGGCTCAGCAGCAACAAACAAAGGCTGTTGGGCATCATGTTTCATTTTCTTGAAAGTGGATGGTTGTTTTTAGAACATGTGGGTTTCAAAGGGAAAGCAGCAAAACCATGTCTTTTTACTAAACCACAAGCAAGTAAAACAAAATCTACAGCTGGGAAAAAGGGCAGTCCTCTGATCCCAGGGTAAAGTGTGGTACCTTCTGAGGGTGTGTGTCCTCTCCCTGTTTCTGACTATTTCAGAGCATTTCCTGTATGTCTGCAGAGCCTTTCATCCCATCCAGCTCTCTTCCTGCAAATTGTGTGTCTTATGGTGTTAAGTGAGGGCTTAGTTCCCTATTTGATGGGAAAATGCAAAGGTTTTGGGACTTTCTCTTGAAAGATCAAGGCTGTAGCTGGCATGGGATGCATGAGAAATACTGATGGCAGGCAGCTCCACAGTTCTTGATGGTATTATTTAAGACTTAGTGTCAGTTAAGAAGATTACCCCTGTCAATACCTGATCTTAATCATAGAATCATAGAATTTAAGGGTTGGAATGGATCTTACAGATCATCTAGTCCCAACCCCCTGCCCTGGGCAGGGACACCTCCCACCAGAGCAGGTTGCTCAAGGCTCATCCAACCTGGCTGTGAGCACTGCCAGGGTTGGGGCAGTCACAGCCTCCCTGGGCAACCTGTTCCAATGTCTCACCACCCTTAGAATAAAAAACTTTTTTCTCACATCCAACCTAGCATTTCCATCCTTCAGTCTGAACCCATTACCCCCTTTTCCTATCACTGCAGTTCCTAACACAGGGTCCCTCTCCAACTCCCTTGTAGGCCCTTCAGATACTGAAAAGTTGCTATGACTAATTCATGTTTTCACTTTCTCTGCTGAATCATCATCATTGGTTTGAATCTAATTCCCTTTTCTCATGGAAAATTCACCTAACTTCTTTAGACCCAAAGTGTGGGCATCACTCACCCACCTAGTCACTGCTCCAACAAGAATTTAGTTGTTCTATACAGAGAGGAATAGCACCAGCAGGAAGGGCTAAGTTAGGCTCTCTCCAAATGACTGGAGGGCAGCACAGTGAGAACACTCTCCTGACAGATGTGTAACATGGGTCCCACTTGCCTTTTCTCAGTGTGGTTCTCCAGTGTGTGTGAGATTTTAATGAACAGATTACAAAGCAAAGGAGAGTGTCACCTCTTCATGACCTTCAGACCCAAATCTAAGAATAATTTCAGAATGGCTGGAAGGCAAAATATTTTCTGAAAAACAAAATCATCCCATCTGTAATCAATATTTTTTGACTAAGCATCCCAAGAGGGTTGCATTTGCTTTAGAGGAAGGGAGAGCTTCCAAAGTTTTACAAGAGCAGGCTAAAATTTCAAAGGAAAAGCAGTCGGTGCAAATTTAGACCTTTTACTTGTTATCACAGTAAATATTTAATGTTCTTTTTGTCTTGATGAAAATGGAGAATTAAAAATAATATTTTCTAATAACACAAAATACCTACAAGTTTAAAGTTGCTGCTAGGGAGACTGTCCATTAACATATTAACCAAAAGACATGTTCAGACTATATCTCAAATAAAGATGACATTTTCCCTTTCTTATGTTACTCAGCAGGAGGTTGTTAATATGACCAGACACATTCCCAGAGAATAAATTCCTTTACAATTGCATTAACTACAGTATATTGGCTTTTCTTCCTTAACTATGCACAATAAAAATTAACTGGTTGGGCTGGTTTGCCTCCTGTACAGGTTTAAAAAGTTTGACAATAAATACCTGCGAAGGCTTCTGATCCGTGAGAACCAACCCAAATCCAGCATTGTTTCTTTATACAAGAAGCTAGAAATCAAACATGCCATTGAGATGGCAGAGAGTGGAATGATAAGCAAGGTGCCATCATCAGTGTCTCTCAGGTAAGCCAAGCATTTCTGCTGGGTCATGTCATTTATTTCACAGCCAGGTCTAGGCAGGGTAATCATTTTGATGTAGGACACTTTGTCTCTGAATGTCACCAGAACAGTAAGAGGATGTGAAACAAGAACCTTTTGCCTGTAGTTCACACATGGAGCACTCAGTGAGCTGTGCTCTTCCGGAATGTGTCATTTTACTGGGACAGCTGCTCACTGGAACATTGATTTGCTGTGGAGAGTGGAGCTGGACTTGAACTTGTGCCTGCCCATCTGCTGAGAATAGCTCCAGGGCAAGCCTGAGAGGCAATTTAAAAAGGACCTAAATCAAATTTGTAATTTAATGTAATTTGGATCACATTTTGGAGACTGAGTTTTGCACCTTACCACTGACTCAAATGAAATCAAGATTTCATTTCTACATGTTACATTTTCACCTGTTCCTCAATTGGTTTGAAATGTTGTTTCCAACTCCAGCAAAGGAAATAGTTCAAATGTAATTCGTGACCATAAAAATAAAACCATTCTTGTATCTTTCTCTCTTTCCTGTCTTTTCCTTTTTTTCCCTCTTCCCAGTGAATATCATGAAGGAAAGATAAAGCCACTTTCTCCCACTGAAATGGAAAATATGAGGGAAATATTAACAAAGAATCTCTACCAAATACGACACCGAGTAAGGATGAAATTTTGCATACTTAAATATCCCACTGTTCTTTGAATATACTGATTAGCATCCTAACATACCTTTGAGCTAGTGTATCTGCTCTACCATATAAGTGTAATGATTAATGCTCTTTTGTACTTCTGTTGCCTTGAATCCATGTGCTAATGTATGTACAGTAACATATTAATACTCCTTTATGTAAATAGCTTACTTATACTATCAATAAAGGTTAATGCTTTTGTCATATTACCTCCAATATACTCACAGTATTAAAAAAGGATCATAGGTGCAAATTCAACCCAACACTATCCACTTATATCAGTATTTTGGTCACTTCATGATATGGGAAGAGATTTCCTATTTGCCTCCAGTTGTGAAGTTGTTTGTGTTAAGAGCAGAGGTGATGAGCTGGAAAAATAGTGAAATAAAAGCAAATGGACATTTCATATTTACCCTCCTGTGGCTAAGTAGTCTGAATGCCTGAGCCCTTGGAAACCATTCAAAAGCAGAACAAGCTTTAGGTTGCTGGAGGTAAAAATGATTTCCCCCTAGGTGACTCATCACTTTCATAGATGTGTCCTCTATGGACATATCAACTGAGCTACTACAATGTGGGGTAAACACTGTATTAAGCCACCCTTTTCCATTTTCTCATTCACTATAAATATCAGAGAGTTAAAAGAACCAACCACCCACAGCAAATGAAGCAGGTGATTGTGAAGCAGATGACTAAAAAGATGCTGGCATCGTTAGTCTTCTTGTTCGTTTTATTCACGAGGATTTATGAAGCTTATTAAAAACATGAAAGCAAAAAGCCTGTTTTGCACTTTTCATGTAGTCCAACATATTTGACATCATACTTTTCAGACTGTGACCACTGTTTTTCTATTTCAGACAATGTCCTACAACCGACACAGCCTGGCTGCAGATGCAAATGAAAAGCAGGCCAAAGAAATCCTGATCCGTCGCCGGCACAGCCTTAGGGAGAGCCTGAGGAAAACAAACAGCCTGTCAAGAGAAAGACAGGTACTTGCATTTTGTTGGGGTTATTTTTTTATAAAAGCAACTCTTTGTAGCAGAAAAAAAAAGTCTTCTGATATGCAGAAAAAAAAATAATCCTGAATTTGGAAGATAACTGCACATCTAATGTCACACTTACACCTTGATGGGCCCCTTAGTTTGTGTTCATAGAAATGCAGAAAAAAAATAGTCCTGAATTTGGAAGATAACTGCACATGTAATGTCACACTTACACCTTGAGTTGCACAGATGGGCCCCTTAGTTTGTGTTCATAGAATCATAGAATCAGCCAGGTTGGAAAAGACCTCCAAGATCATCAAGTCCAACCCTACTGTGGTTACTAGCCCATGGCACTAAGTGCCACATCCAGTCTCAGCTTGAAAACCTCCAGGGATGGGGAATCCACCACCTCCCTGGGCAGCACATTCAAATGCCTGACAACTCTCTCTATAAGCAAAAATCTCCCTAATATCCAACCTAACCCTCCCCTGGCAGAGCTTGAGTCTGTGCCCTCTTGTCCTGCTGCTGGTTGCCTGGGAGAAGAGACCAACCCCCACCTGACTCCAACCTCCTGTCAGGGAGTTGCAGAGGGTGAGAAGGTCTCCCCTGAGCCTCCTCTTCTCCAGGCTGAACACCCCCAGCTCCCTCAGCCTCTCCTCATGGCACTGGTGCTCCAGTCCCTTCACCAGCCTCGTTGCTCTTCTCTGGACCTGCTCCAGCCCCTCAATGTCCCTCCTGAGCTGAGGGCCCAGAGCTGAGCACAGGATTCAAGAAGTTGACTCCTTCAGCAAAGCTTCAGTCTTGCAGAATGTGATATGGGAGTGGGATGTGCTGCTATAATTTCACCTCAGTGAAGCTGAACGGGCTCTGTACACAATATAGTTCTAAGGAATGGTCATTATTCTCTATCAGTATTTTGATGAAGTGTGGATGACTGAGGTAAAAAGCAAGTTTGAGATAGAGTATGCTCCAAAATATGGGAAAGAGGACTTTTGATTGTGTGAGAGTCTCAGTCAGAGTGAGCTCTTCACTTGAAAAATGGTGTGGGCTCTTTGGTGCTCTTAAAATATAGTCAGGACTTCAGGTTTTGACGCAGAATAGGCAAAAACCCTTCCATACACAAGAATTGCTGTGGCATATTTGGCTCTCTGAGGCAATCCTGCAATTGTACACTCCCACCATATCTGAATGGAGCACACAGATTCAACAGGGAAGCTGATCCTTCGAATCATATCAGGTATCAGGGGAATTAACCATCCTATTAATATGTATTTTCATGGTACAGGAATACTTAGTGACTGTTGTCTTCATTGATGCCATTGTCCTTCAGCAGCTGAGGCTGAAATAATGTCCCCAAAGTGTTGTATCTCAGTGGTGACCATTACCAGGGTTACTGTGGTGTTAAATTGTCACAATCTAACTGTTCCTGAATGATTTTTTCACTCTCAACCACTGTTACATTTGTTGTCTTTGTCATACAAGTATATGATTTACTAGGTGGAATAATGAGGAGAGAAAACAAGATATTTGGGGCAAGGAGAGAAAAGGGGTGACAACTTTTGAAAATGCATAGGCTATAAAATCCACCACAGGGGGGAGAAAAAAAAAAATAAGAAGAAAAAGAGGAAAACAAGAAAAATCCAAAGAGGAAAAATCTCTAATGGAAAATAAATCTCTTTTCCTGTTCCCTTTGAGTGTGCCACAATGAATGGTACAAGCAGAGGAGAGCTGGTAGACTGTAAAGGTTTTGAAACATCTTTGTAATAAATGTAAGAATGGCTAAGGCTGTCCTTGAGAAACTTGAATTTAGAAAAAAGCAACTTGTCCTGCAAAGTACCTCTCATGTTCCAGGAAGTATGACGTGTGCTCTGCTCCCAGGGCTTGTAAAGCTCAGTGTGGGGAAAACAAGGATTTTATGCCCTGAACTGGTAAATGATCACGCTGGTGCCTAACTTCCCCATCAACTTCAGCGTGACTAGTCAACTGTAGAAAGTCATTTATATGTATAAAGTGCTTGCAGGATCAGAATACAGATTAGTTCTTTGCCCAAGCTTCAGTCTCAACCAAATTTGTGCAGGTGACTAATAAAAAGTTTGGAACTGGAGCTGGATGAGGTGCCATGTGTGCACTGTTTGCCTTCCTTAGGAAAACCTGTCCAGGCAAGGTTGAGGTTAGAGACCATACATTTATTAACTCTGATCTTGGAGGGCATATCACAAGGCTTTCATTTGATTAAGCTGCTTGAGATTATTCAGTCTTTACCTTAGCACAGACTTCAACCAGCACTCAGTGTTGAATGTGTAGTAAAAGATCACGTATTAGCTAATCCCAAACTTCTCTCCAGCCCTTTAGCTACATAAACCTGTTCAAACCTCAGCTGTGTATAACACCCATTATGCAGGTACACTAGTCTGCAGCAACTTAACAGGTTTTATATTTCTTTGCACACAGGCTGTTGCCAATACAAAACGATTCCTTTCACTTCCTAAGAACACTAAACTCCCAGAGAAACTACGAGTGAGAAATAAAACATCTTCCAGAGGTAATAAAAAAGTTGTTTGCTGTGTCTTTACTGTTCTGCAGTCATTTTGCCTACAGAGAAGGAAAGTTGAAATCAGCATATTAAATTTCAAATAGATATTGAATGTTTTATATGCACATGATTTCATTCTGGAGTTAATAACTTCATAGGGTATTTTTAGGTGTTGGATATTTAGTTGGGGTCTTAGAGCATTAAAAGCAGTGGGTCCTAAAGCAGAAATCTGAGTGTGGAGAAATGCCCCAGACAGGAGGGTTTTGTGGGGCTTTCTCACTTCCTATTCCATAGTTGTATATTCCTCCCAACACATCTCATGTGAGCAAGGAACAGCCTGAAACACTTCTGCACCAGGAACAGTGCCATGGCGTGTGCTCCTTGTCTTTATTCCATAATGTCCAGATACCCCTCTTGGATTATGAGCCTATTTGATTTCTCTTCTCACTGGAGTCAGAATAGAGGACACTGCTCTGAGAACCAAACCAGAGAGGAGAAAGAGGACATGAGGTCTGGTTTATTCATAGAATCATAGAATCATAGAACCATCAAGGTTGGAGGAGACCTCAAAGTCATGGAGTCCAACCATTAACCTGCCAA